TTTTTTTTTTTGGTACTGGGGGTCGAACTCAGGACCTTGCACTTGCCAGGCAGGCTCAATGCCACTGAGCTAAATCCCCAGGCCTGCAAAGTCACTTTTTACGTAGGCTTCCCCCAGGGCTGGAAAGCTGATGTGGACCTTCCCAGAATGATCACTTACTATGTAGCAAATATTACAGATAGGCCCATTTGCTTGTAACATCGTATTATTACTTATGCTTGTCATTGGTTACTCATTCTTTTCTCTCCCAGCAGCTGCTCCCTCTACCCGAGGCTGAACCCCCCTCCTCAGGCTGACCACACACAAGCCTCCCCGAATCAGAGCCCTCCCTGCACCCCCCCCCCAGCCAAGCCCACCTCCCAGGTCCATCAGCCCAGTCAGGAGCTGACTCATCAGCAAATGTGACAAGCTTCCAGTACTTCCCTCCTTCCTTCCTTGCTTCCTCAGGGCCTTCACTCGATGTTTGGTAAACGGAACCCTGTGCTCCAGAGGCTCCCAGAGGAGACATGCTCATTCAAACACTCAACACTTGGAGGGGCCCACTGTGTGCCCGGCCCTGTTGTGGGCTCTGGGAGCCATAGCAGTACCAAAGCTGATGGCCAAACTCATGATGCTCATATTTGGGCAGTGTGAATATTTATTTATTATTTATTTATTTTTGGTACCGAGGATCGAACTCGGGTCCTTGTGCTTGCGCAGCAGGCGGTGAAACCACTGAGCTAAATCCCCAGCCCCAGGATGAATATTTAAAGAGGTGTGTGTGTGTGTGTGTGTGTGTGTGTGTGTGTGTGTGTGACAGTTTTCCAACCATGGAAAATAGATGGAAGGAAGGGAGAAAGCAAAGGAGGGAGGAAGAGAGGGGAATAGGGAAAGAAGGGAGGGAGGGTAAAGGAGAGAAATGCCAGAGGGGTGTGGTGGCACATGCTTGTAATTCCACACTCTGGGAGGCTGAGGCAGGAAGATCATAAATTCCAGTTTAGCCTGGGAAAATCAGCAACTTAACTAGACCCTGTCTCAAAATTTAAAATAGAAAGGGGGCTGGGAGGTAGCTTACGGCAAAAGCCCTGGCTTCAATCTTCAGTACCAGGAAAAAGAAAGAAGAAGAAAAAAAATGCCAGAGGTCAAAGATTAAGCAGAGTTCTGTGCTTGCCCATGGCTGTAAGTCTGCAATGTGGCCTCGGGAGGCCAGGATTAGAAGTCCAGCATGGAGCAGAGAAGACAAAAGGACACTAGGACAGAACTGAGCCCTGGGGAGGCAAGACTCTTCTGGGCGTGGGGACCCATGACCTGGGAAGCCAGGCTCCTGGACGGAGCCCATGGTCTGCAGAGAATGGGGCCCACGATGCCACTGTCCCCATCTACCGCTGAGCTGTGGCCCAGGGTGGATGCCTTTGGAATGCTCTGCCTCACTGCTGAGCAGTGGATTTCCTCGTTCACTCGACAGGCAGTTTGCCCACACCATCAGGTGCCAGGGACGGTGCAGAGGAGAGGTTGCGTTTCTGCCCTGGAGGACACAGGCTAACACTGCATCACACTGCTGCGAGGCCAGGAGGGGCAACAGGGGCTGGGAGTGGTGGGGACCAGAGCTCCTTCAAAGAGAAGACCCTTAGCCCAACATGGAGGTGCACGC